AGAGAAAACTCCCGACCCAAAGGGTTTTACTAATGAATTCTACCAAACGTTTAAGGAAGAAGTAATGTCAATTAAACTAATTCTTTTAAAACATACAAAAGGAGGGAATAACTCTCAGTAATTTTTGAGGCCAGCATAATCCTGAAACCAGAAAAGGACAAATATCAAAAAAATGAAAATTGTACAAGGCACAAAGGCCAGAAAGAAAATGGTAAATCCACAAATATAGACAAAAAATATTTAACAAAACACTGGCAAATTAAATCCAGGAATATATAAAAAAAATAATACAGCAAGACCAAGTAGAATTTAGCCAAGAATTCAACCTTGGTTAAATGTTTTCTTAAAAAAATCAATGTATCCTGAAGAATGAAAATGGAATTGAAGGAATCAGGCTCCCTGACTTCAGACTATATTAAAAAGCCAAAGTCATCAAAACAGTCTGGTACTGGCACGAAAACAGAAATATAGATCCATGGAGCAGGACAGAAAGCCCAGAAATAAACCCATGCACCTATGGTCAATTAATCTATGACAAAGGAGGCAAGAATATACAATGGAGAAAAGACAGTCTCTTCAATAAATGGTGCTGGGAAAACTGGACAGCTACATGTAAAAAAATGAAATTAGAACACTCTCTAACACCATACACAAAAATAAACTCCAAATGGATTAAAGACCTAAATGTAAGACTGGACACTATAAAACTCTTAGAGGAAAACACAGGCAGACCACTGTTTGACATAAATTGCAGCAATATCTCTTTTGGATCTACCTTCTAGAGTAATGAAAATAAAAACGAAAATAAACAAATGGGACCTAATTAAACTTAAAAAACTTTTACATAGCAAAGGAAACCATAAACAAAATGAAAAGACAATCCACAGAATGGGAGAAAATATTTGCAAATGAAGTGACTTGACAAGGGATTAATCTCTAAAATATACAAACAGCTCATGAAGCTCAATATCAAAAAAAACAAACAACCCAATCAAAAAATGGGTAGAAGATTTAAACAGACATTTCTCCAAAAAAGACATACAGATGGCCAAAAAACACACGAAAAATTGCTCAACATCACTAATTATTAGAGAAATGCAAATCAAAAATACAATGTCACCAGGCAGAATGGCCATCATCAAAAAGTCTACAAACAATAAATACTGGAGAGGGTGTGGAGAAAAGGGAACCCTCTTGCACTGTTGGTGGGAATGTAAATTGATACAACCACTATGGAGAACAGTATGGAGGTTCCTTGAAAAACTAAAAATAGAGCTACCACATGACCCAGCAATCCCACTCCTGGGCATATGTCCAGAGAGAACCATAATTTGAAAAGGTACATGCACCCCAATGTTCATTGCAGCACTATTTACAATAGCTAGGACATGGAAGAAACCTAAATGTCCATCAAAAGAGGAATGGATAAAGAAGATGTGGTACATATATACAATGGAATATTACTCAACCATAAAAAAGAATGAAATAATGCCATTTGCAGCAACATGGATGGACCTAGAAATTATCATATTAAGTGAAGTAAGTCAGACAAATATATGATATCACTTATATGTGAAATCTAAAAAAAATTAATCAAACTTATTTATAAAACAAAGAGACTCACAGACTTCAAAAACAAACTTATGGTTATGAAAGGGGAAATGTGTGTGTGGGGGGGAATAAATCAGGTGTTTAGGATTAACATATACACACTACCATATATATATGGTATATATATATATATATATATATATGTATATATATAAAATCAACAGGACCCACTCTATAGCACAGGGAACTCTACTCAATATTCTGTAATAACCTAAATGGGAAAAAAGTCTGAAAAAGAATGGATATATGTATATGTATAACTTAATCACTTTGATGTACACCTGAAACTAACACAACATTGTAAATCAACTATACGTCAATATAAAATAAAAATTAAAATATAAAATCAACAGGACCCACTCTATAGCACAGGGAACTCTACTCAATATTCTGTAATAACCTAAATGGGAAAAAAGTCTGAAAAAGAATGGATATATGTATATGTATAACTTAATCACTTTGATGTACACCTGAAACTAACACAACATTGTAAATCAACTATATGTCAATACAAAATAAAAATTAAAAAGCAGAACTGAGGTTTCCCTTAGGTTTCTTTCTGAGAAGAAATTCTGCCCAAAGATGTATAATAATTCCTGCCCAAGAATTTCCAGACTGCTAGCCTGCCTTACAAACTTTGGATTTGCTAGCCCCCACAATTACATAAGCCAATTCCTTTAAATAAATCTCTCTTCTATCTCCCCACTCCCCTCCCCTAAATCAGTGTATTTCACCACATCAAAAGAATAAGGAAGAAAAACCTTCTGGTCATTTTAACACAGAAAAAGCATTTAATATGTCAACACCCATTCATTATCAAACTTTCAGAAAATTAGGAATAAAAAAAACCCAATTAAAGGCATCTATGAAAAACCCTCACCTAACTTTGTACTTAATGACAAAATATTAAGGCTTTTCCCCTAAGCTTGCCAAAAAAGGCAAGGATGCCCACTCTCACTACTTCTGTTCAATACTGTACTTATGATCCTAGCCAGTGCATCAATCCAGAAAAAGAAATAACTGGTATAAAGATGAGAAAGGAAGAAATAAAGCTGCCTTATTCAAATATTATATGATTTTTAACATAGAAAATCTTAAGAAATCTAAAAAATAACTACTAGAACTAATAACTTTAACAAGGTAACAGGAAGTAAGATCAATATACAAAAATCAACCATATTTTTATATACTAGCAAAATACCAGAATATCAAAAGCACTCAAGGAAAAAAAAGAACAAAGTTATACCAGCTGACTTAAAGACTTACTGCAGAACTATATTAATCATGGCTGTTTGTAATGGCCAAAGGATACCCATTTAATTCAATGGAATAGAATAGAAAGTCCAGAAAAACATACATATTTTTAAGTCACTTGATTTTTCACATAAGACACTAAAGCAACCCAGTAGGGAATGGGAAATATTTCCAACAAATGGTGATGAAACCACTTGCTATCCATACAGAAAAGAAAAAAATGAAATTTAATCCCTAACTTACACTATATGCAAATATCAATTTAAGGTGGCTCTTAAATGTAAATATGAAAGCTAAAAATTATAAAGCTTCTAGAAGAAAACAGAAGGTTATCTTCTTGTCCTAGTGTCAGAGGTTTCCTAGACAAAACACAGAAAGCAAAATCCACAAAAGAAAAGCATATATCTTACAAAGGACCTACATACAGAATATATAAGAACTCACAGCTCATTAATAAAAAGGAACAACGCAATAGAAACAAAACAGGCAAAAAATCTGAACACTTTTTAAAGAAAATAAGAGTACCAAAAATACCAAAAAAGTGTTCAATATCAATAGACATGAGGGAAATGGGAATCAAAACTATACTGAGATAATACTACATACATCCAGAATGACTAAAATTAAAATGACAACACTAAACACTGGCAAGAACGTGGATTAAGTGGTATTCTTATACTTTGCTGGTGGGAGTGTAAAACAGTACAACCACTTTGGAAAGCAAACCACTGTGATACAAAAAACATGGATAAATCTTAAAAACACTATGCTGAGTTGAAAAAAGCTATACACAAAAAGTACATATTGTATGAATTCCATTTATATGTAGTCCTAGATCAGGCAAAACTAACCTATGTTGAAATAATCAGAACAATAGTTGCCTTCTGGAAGGAGGTGGGACTGATTGGGAATGGACATGAGGTAATTCTCAAGGATGATGAAGATATTGTGTATCTTAATAGGGATGTAGGCATTTGTCAAATCTGACAAAATTATACACCTAAGATTTATGGATATGACTGTAGGTAAATTTTATCTCAAAACAAACACAAAATTCAATTAATGACTGCATGCTAAAGTGTTCAGGGAGCAAAGTTTACTGATGCTTGCAACTTCTTTTGAAATGCATTTAAAAGTTGACTGATGGATGTATAGGGAGATACATTTAAATAAATATACATATAAATATACATATACATATAAATAAAGCAATAGAGTGACTTTACTCTTCAGTTTGAAAATTTTCATTAAAAAATGCTGGGAGTAGTGGAGAATAAGTAAGACCTTTATGTATTCATATGAAGAGATCTCCAAGATGTAGTGTTATATGTTTCATATTTATAAAGAGAACACAATAAATGCCTTTCTAAACAATGCCAATAAAACTGTATGACCCAGGTGTCTTCCACTGTGACAGCACTCAAATAACTTACACGGTTCAAAAAAATACAAAATGAAAATGATTAAAAAAAAAAAACAACAAAGCCCTGAACAATTACTTTTCCTTCTTGAGAAATGCTATTTTTGAATATTTTAGCATTGCGTATAAAATTTATTTAAGATTAAGAAAGAAGTTTTTCCAATTAACCTTTAACACTACTTAGTACAACTCTGAAGATATTATAACTAGCTCAGATTAATTAATATTTCATTAACTTCATTTTCAGATTTTCTCTAATAGTAGCACAAATAAATCTATCTTACTTGAGACGAGATCTCACCAATGAGAGATCAACTAAAAAAAACATAAAAATTTACATTAAAATTGATTTCCCTTAAAATCATTATGGTGAATAGAGTCATATTCTATGCTTTTGTAGGTTATAAAATAACTGGTGAATAACGAGGAGGGAAAATCAAGAAGAGATTCAAAAAGATTAAGAACGAAACTTTTTACTTAAAAAAATAAGGTCAACATTCTTTGGTCATAAGAGGAGATAATATAAAATTTAAAATCAAGACAGAATTTTTAATAATCAAAGGCAGCAAAAATCATAAAAGTTAAAAAAATGAAAAACAAACCTGATAGGATTAGGGAAACAGGGCACTTTGCATATCCAATAACATATAATACACTCCCAAAAATTTAAGAATTTTAATGTAAGAATTTTAAACATATGATTTAAAAGACTTACCCTTTCTGCTTCAAAGGTAATTCAAGTTTAAATATGGTAGCATCATTAACAACTGCTTTATATGCCTGCAAATAATATAAAATAAGATACGAACATTATTTTTAATACTTAAAATAATTATAATTCTAAAAACACATAAAATACAAATTAGTTTTTATTTTTAATGATGTATCTGGCCTGACAGAATTTTTCAAGACAATGATTTCAACATGCTCTTTCTCATGTTATGATTATCATTATTCTCAAGTGAGGTATTAATGCTGCCTGACAACCATAACATTTTCTCTTGTCTCTCCTAGAAAACATTTTCATACCACCTCCTTTCTCTTCAAACCTCCAGTATTTCCTCTCCCATGCATACTCTCAGCTGATGATGTGGCTTCCTAATTCACTGAGAAAACCGAAGTAATCAGAATTCCCTCCTTTTTCTCCTGTATCATCAATTTTCCCCCCTCCATTATTTCTACAGCCTCAATATGCATACATATTATTCTTTAAATCTTAAAAATTCTCTCTTGGCTTTGTCCACCTTCAGCTACTGCCCCATATTTCTCTCTCTCTCTTTAAGTTAAACTCCTAGAAGAATTATCTAACTCACTGTCGCTAATTTCTCTACTACCATTCTTATCTGAAACTGTTCTAAACAGGCTTTCACACACTCCAACTAATGATTCTTGTCAAAGTCACTCACAACCTCCATGTTGCTGAAGACAATGGTTAATCCCCATCTTATCTGACCTATCAGCAGCATTTTAAAACAGCAGATCCTGCCCTCCTCCTGGAAAGTGCTTTTTCCACTTGTTTTCTAGCACAGCACTCTCCTGGTCATTCCACTCATTTCGCCTCTCTCCTCAGGAAAGATGGCTGGTTCCTTAACGTTATGATAACTAACTTTAAAATGCCCCAGACCAGTCCTTGGATCTCTTCTCTTTGCTATCTTCACTCTTACTTTGGAGATCATAGCCACTGTCGGTGCTTTAAAAACCATCTATATGCTGAAGCTCCCAGATTTATTTTGCAGGCCCGTCCCCTCTCTAAAGCTCCAGATTTGATGTTGCCATATGGATGTTTAATAAGCATTTCAAAGTTAACTTGTCCAGAACTGAGTTCCTAATCTCTCTTCAACCATCTCCCCAAAACCTGCTTCTCCCAAAGTCTTCATCTTCCCTCACCTCAGCAAGCATATACTTCTAATTGATCAGAACAAAAATCTGAGTGTCATCCTTCACTGATCTCTTTCTATCACATTCCACATCTGATTCCATTAGCAAGTCCTATATAGCCTATTTTTACAATATAATCAAAATCCAACCACTTTTGACTACCTTCACCTACTATCGTTCTGGGCAGAGCTTCCATCATTACTTAACTGAATTACTTAAATAGATTCTTAACCCATTTCCTTGCTTCCTCTCTTGCCCCCTTCAGTCTATTCTTTTTGCAGCAGGCAGGTGATCCTGATAAAATGTAAGTCAGATCCTGTCATTTGGTTCAAGATCTTTCTATGACTTTCTATCCTACTCAGAGTACAAATGAAACTCCTTACCATGGCTCAGTCTTACATGATCTGGCCTCCTGTTATCTCTGACTACTTATCTCTGATTTTCTACTATTCTCCCCCTCACTCAATCCACTCTGGCCACAATCTCTTTCTTCTCTGGTTCTGCAACATGACAGGTATAATCCTGCCTTAGAGGCTTTGCATTTGCTCTCCCCTCAGGCTAGAGTATTATTCCCTCAGAGAGCCACATGACATATTCCTTAATCAACTTCAATCTTGATTTGAATGTCACCTCATATAAAGCCCTTTGCAGGCCATTCAATTTAATATTTCAAATGACCTCATTACCGCCATACTCCCTTAACCCTTCTCCTACTTTATCTACCTATGTACCTACCTATCTACCTTTCTTTCTACCCAAATATTTATCTAAAGGTAGACAGTAATTTTTTAAAAATGCTACTGGAGAAAGTTGACTGTGTTTTTAGAGTCTAGAAAATAATTCCACTTGGGAAGTAAGGAAAGGTAGTTGAAGAGGGGGAAAAACTAATGGTAATTCTAGTGATAGGTTTATGATATTTAAAAAGATACGGGGCTTCCCTGGTGGTGCAGTGGTTAAGAATCTGCCTGCCAATGCAGGGAACACGGGTTCAAGCCCTGCTCCGGGAAGATCTCACATGCCGCGGAGCAACTAAACCAGTGCACCACAACTACTGAGCCTGTGCTCTATAGCCCGTGAGCCACAACTACTGAGCCCTCGCGCCACAACTACTGAAGCCCGCACGCCTAGAGCCCATGCTCCGCAACAAGAGAAGCCACCTCAAGGAGAAGCCAGTGCACCACAACAAAGAGTAGACCCCGCTCACTGCAACTAGAGAAAGCCCACGTGCAGCAATGAAGACCCAACGCAGCCAAAATTAAATAAATAAATAATATAATAAAATAAATAAATTTATTTTAAAATAATAAAAATAAAAAGATAATGACTCTAAGGATAATACTGTTTCATTATCATTATCCTAGACTATAATGATGGGAAAGAAGGTATGGAAAGCAAGAATAAATGTGATACAACTCTCACAAGAGCCCTATGAAAGGAAACAGGACAGAGAAATCAATTCTGCTTGGGATAGGATGTGGGGGGAGGCAGAGTATCAAGGAAATTCCAGGAGAAGTATACTTTGAGCTGAGTCTTAAAGGAAGAATGAATAAGAATTCAATAATCAATAATATTCAAAAACAGGGAAGCATTCTTGAAAAATTAAGAAAGCAACTTTCTAGCTAAATTCTGGTTCACAAGCATACCCAATGCTTACAAAAGCATATAAGAAACCAAATAAAATATGGTTGCCCTCCACTGATGAAAAATCAGAGTTGCTAGGTTTTTTAGTTTGCAATTTAATAGCATAATGATGCAAGTTTCTTATTAAAATTAAATTATGACAAGTGTTAACATACAGGAATATATACCTTGTCTCTTGCAGTAAGAAATCGTGGATCATCTTGAAAAGCTTCTTTGACAAGTCTACTAAATCTATTAAACAGTGTAAGTAACTGCTCAACATATTTCTCAGAGTCCTAAAAATAAAATGTTATATACTGAGTTTAAAAAAAAAAACAAAAAATGAGAAAATATAAACATAATTTTCATAACACACTATAGCTTTAAAATTTGGTAACTTTTCTGAAATATTTTTTTCTTATTAAGAAAGGTGTTCCAACATTACTGTTTTGCCATCAATTTAAAATACCCGATTTTAAATACCTTACCCTGCATTTACAAAATAACTTTGATATATATCTATCATTGTCATTGAGGAGAACTTACAGTAGTAATAGTTTCAGCAGCTGCTACCATATCTGCCAGGCCTGCACTGATGATATGTTCCTCTAAGTCTTTCAACATTGGCTCTATCCCATTAGGAACTTTGTCCATTAATGAAAACATCAAATGTAATTCTGAAACGACAGAACACACCCATGTAATCATTTCATCCATCAGAACAGACTTTCTCTTTGATTTGTATCATGGATCTAGAATGCCTATGATAATAAGAGTGTGGGGAAATATTAGCTGGAAGTTGATAGCTTTAATAGTATTCTGTGGGTGCAATTAGTTTAGGACTTGTTATCGTTAAGTACTATAACTTCCTGATCTACCATATCAGTCTGACAAAAATTATTTTTAAAAGAAACTCTAATTAAAGTGATCACACACTGCAAAACCCAACTCCTCTTAAAAGGTGAGTCATTTGACCTTCAATGCAATGGAATATATTTATTCTAAGAAATACAAAAGTTTACACAGAAAATTAGTTACATTTCATAAAGTAGATGCAATGTTAAATATACAATACACAGTCACATCACTAAGGGGTAAAATAATGTCCTCAGATTGTTCAGAGTAACAAGGTAATATAAAACTGTATTCATAAAGAATTTTTCGGTTTGCAAAAAGCACTTTCTCCTATTATCCCATTTAACTGACCTTCACAATAATCTTACCTCACAGAATGGTTACCACTAAATAAATCCTTCTGAAGGGAGTCCACCTTGATCAGACATAACTCTACCTAGTCTGGCATACAGAAATTCAAATATTTCACTTATGCCAAATGATAAACTTGTTTTTACTCCAAAATACTTCTGAAGAGTGTAACACTTAAGTGAACTGAAAAACGTACTTGAAAGACAACTAGAGATTAAATAGGACCTTGCAATTTTATGCAATGAAATCTAGAGAGTAATACATCAAAATGTCAAAAGTGGTTGTCTCTGAGTAGTAAGTATATGGGTAATTTTTACTGTATGCTTTTTGGTATTAATGTACTTGCTACCTCCCAAAACAGAACTTTATCATATTTAAGTAATAAAAGAATAACATGTAAGTAATAAAAAATACAATTCAGAAATCTTAAATTATAAGATATTTCGGGGGAGAGGGATGAAGATTACCAACATAGAATGTTTTACTGCTTTTGAAAAATATTTGCCACAAGGTTCCACACAAAAGTCAAAATACCTAATTCTATCCTATACCATACGTTTACCATTTAAATTAGCCTTTAAACGTAGCGTCCTACTTTTGAGAACAAATTGAAATTCGCACGTGAGCGCACACAAACATACTGATACCTAAGGGGGAGAAATGCTTAAAATATAAGTTTATAAAGAAGATTTTCTTTACAGTGTTTCTAACTATGCTAAATATTTTTATCATTTTCTTTACGCAGTTTGCGATAACAAAAACACCTATGTATAAAAGAATGACCTAACAGCAATTTATTAAAAGTGATGTGCTTCAAAGATATCCTCTTAAAAGAGTATGAGAACTTTATGTGATGTTTTACCTACTTTCAGTTTCATTTCTCTTGATCATGCCTTGGCACTCTGCTAAGATAGTCTCTTTAAAGGATGTCACCAGGGCATTTACACAGCATTCCATGAGCTGAAATACATCAAAAATTGGTCAAGGCTGTTATAAGCAACAATAAGGCACAGATCTATTCCACTCCATTTTGCTTCATAGTCCCACAAAACCACAATGTTCAACAACAGCAAAAAACTAAGAATAATGAAAGTAGATTTTACTTACCTTTACTAGAGGATTGTTGAAGATGGATACTCTATTTTAGTTTACCAAAGCATACTTCCTCCTAAGGAAAAGGCTATAGAACTTAGGTTCTCTTTAGAAATTTTAATGAAAGTCCCCAACAAGGGGAGGAAAAAAACCTTTTTAATCTACAAAACAGACTGAAAAACTAAACTTTAATGAACTCTCATCTGGAGAGAACCTGTGTTGGAATTAGACTCTAAAATGCTAGAAGTATGAACATCCATTCAACACATAGTTTCATTGCTGTGAGCACCAAAGAAGTGTTAGGATACAAAGAAGAATAAGCTATAACCTCTGCTTTGGAGAAGATCACTGTCTTCTGGAGGGTGATCTGGAGGGTGGGGAGGGAAGCAAACTTTAATAAATACAACTCAGTTAAGTGGCAAAACACACACACACACACAAACAGAAACAAACAAAGGAACTACTATTTTTTTCTGGGTAGTTAAAAAGGTCTCATCCACAAGATGAAATCTAAATTGGATATTGAAAAGTACAAATCTTAAAATGGATTGGGTATTCTAAGAAAAAAAAGCTGAATTTGAAGAGAGTGGGAGAGAAAGCTAGAAAGGTAGACTGGAGCCAGATTATGAATGAAAGTCTATGGTTTGGGATTTTACTCTATAGGTAGAGAAGGTTTTAAACAGAAGATAAATGCAATGAGCTTCTATTCCCCCACCAAGTCATTTTTAAAAGGTCAGTCTAACGTCAGCAAGGTAGGTGGTACTGAGTGGTGGTAGGGAGACTGGCAAACATGGCTGTTGAAAGACTGCAAGTAAGATGGTCAGGGTCTAATGTTTTGGCTGGCTCCACTCCATCACTGCTCCTTCGTGTCATGTATTTACTCTTCTTGCAGGTATCAAAATGAACAGGTTGTGATTACTAACACAAGGTACACTAAGGCTGATATCTCTCTTCTGAAAAACAGATCATCTGTCTGTATTAAGGAAGGGAATTGTGTGTGCCTTAAAAGTTCTTTGCTAAAAATTCCTCTTGGAACTGACATAATGTTGTTATATTACTGAAGTTAAATATATGTAATGGAGATTCATTATATCGCTGTTTCCACTTTTTAAAATGTTAAAAAAATTTCCACAATAAAAGGATTTTTTTCAGATCCCTCCATTAGAATTATACTAATGACTTTAAAGTCCATGTATGTCAATTTCTGTCCTAAGAAGAACAACATACATATGAAGTGGTTGAGAAATTACTGCCAAGGTGGGAAGCTCTGCCCCAATTACTGAGTAATCTCATTCTATAGCAGCCCTGGAATATGCACAATGGAACACTCCCACCTTCGACAGAGAATACGTAAATCTAACTATATACAACTAATGAAGAAGAAACAAAGTGCAATCAGATTAAGCTCTGTTTTCTAAAATAAGCTCTATTTTCTGTTTTCTAAAATAATCTCTGTTTTCTGTTTCACTGAAAATTTACACTTGTACATAATCTAGTTCAGGAGTAGTCCAAATTTTGCAGACTCCAAAAATCATGTGTCATGTGTTTCAAACTGTTGTGAAATGTTTTAATGGCTGTGGCCAGCTTGTTTTTTTTAAAAATATAGAACAGAACAAACAAAAAAAATCAGAGTGCATCACATATAAAAACAACAAATATTATTTCATAACATTGTTTCAGATATGAGCAAATAAACAAAGCATATACTAAGTCACAATAAAAAATGTATTTCTTATTGTGGGTTACAATGAGGATTTAAAGGAGAGAGTAGGGAGGCTAGTTGTCCAGTGGTTAGGACTTGGGCTCTCACTGACATGGGTCTCGGTTCAATCCCTGGTCAGAGAACCAAGATCCTGCAAGCCACGTGGTGCGACCAAAAAAATAACATAACATAACATAACACAACATAAATGAGAGGCTCAATTGACAAGATAGTTGAAGTAAACTGAGCAGAATTTGGTAACTGCTTAGATGAAAGGAGTTAGGGATATAAAGCTTACTGAAACACTTTCTAGCTTGAAAGGTTAAACAAGTTATTATAATAACAAATATCTTTTAATAAGCACCTACTCTGTAAATGCTTTACATACATTATCTGATTAACCCATGTGTCATTTAACTCATGAAAACCTTATGAAGCAGATATTTAACATATGAGGAAACAAGCTTACAGAGGCTAAGTAACTTACAAATGTTACACAATTAGTTCATAAGGTCTTGAGCTGTAATATGAGGCCAGGTATGTGATCCCAAGCCTACAACTTTTGATACTACATTAAGAGAGCAAGTATATACTTAATAATGGCTATGTGCTCAGAAATGAGTTAAGTGTTGCAAGGAATAGAGAAGATAAAACATGGTTTATACACTCAATGCTCTTACAATCCAGTTTGGGATATGTAACTATAATGTATCTAAAATGTGTGCATACTTCATACATAACAGAGGTATATGAAAAGTTCAATTTCACCAATAAAGCAAAGAGATGGAAATAAACACATTATTACTACACTATAAATAAACTTCACAAGGACAGAGACTGTGTTCCATCCAGCTATATATTCATGGACTCAACACATTTGGTGCTTGATAAATAACACAACAAAGTAGCCTATAATTTGCTACTAAATCAAGTTGTAGAAACAATTGGTACAGTGGGAATTCAAATAAAAGGAAATGGATGAAGGCTAGAGTATTTGGGGAGACTTGCAAGATGGGCTTTAAGAATTCTGAAGGATTTGAATAGGCAGAAAAGAAAAGTAAAACATTACTTAAAAAGAATGAATCCAAGAAAAAAACGAATAGAATGAGGTATATGAATAAGAAAATATTCCTTATTGGGTAGAATGACTCTTACTGGACAGTATTAAGTTAGAAAAATAAGTTATGGCCAAATCATGAAGGGCCTTGAAAACCAGAGATAGGAAATCAAGATACTACGGTTTTTTGAATAAAGAAGTAAAATAATGAAAGAGTAGCCTCAACTCACAAAAGAAGAAATACAAATGGTCCATAATAAGAATAATGTAGTGGAAAATCCAATGTTCTTAATGATAGGAACTAGCAGATGGATATTCCCTTGAATTAAACAATTAATGTCAATCCTAAAAAAATAAAGATACCCAGCCTCATTAGCATTTTTTTTTTTTTTTGGGCTGCACCATGCAGCATGTGGAATCTTAGTGCCCCAACCAGCGATCAAACCCGTGCCCCGTGCATTGGAAGCGCAGAGTCTTAACCACTGGACTGCCAGGGAAGTCCCCTAGTAATTTTTAAATGCACATTAAAATATCTTTTAAAATCTATGATACTGGGAAATTGGCAAAATTAATAGACCGAAAAAACCCAGATCAGCAAAGATAGCAGGTATATTGTTAATGGGAATCAGAATTACAACAACATTTCTGAAAATCAGTTTCGTCTTATATAGCAATCTGTAAAAGGTGCATACCCTTTGCTTCAGCAATCTCATTTCCAGGAAATTCCATTCTAATAGAATGCCACATGTAAGAAAGATGTATGCATAAAGATTTTAAAAATATATCAGGATATAAGATATAAGCATGTAAATACATTCCAGGAAGTACTATTTACTTAAAAAAACCATAATAATAACAAATAATAATGAAAATTCCCATCATTAGAGAAGTAGTTAGGTATATTATAGTACATATATATGATGAAATATATACAGGCATTAAAAATAATGTTATAATATAGAAGTGTTTAGAGTAAAAATGTACATCATAACTTCTTTAAATGCTAGAGGAAAGGAAGAAAGAGAGAAAAGAAAGAAAAGATGGAATTCCCTGGCAGTCCAGTGGTTAGGACTTGACATTTTCACTGCCAGGGCCCGGGTTCAATCCCTAATCAGGGAACTAAGATCCTGCAAGCTGCACAGCTCGGCCAAAAAAAAAAAATTTTGTTAATTTTAAAAAAATAAAGAAAGAAAAGAAGGAAAGGGAAAAAAGGAAAGAAAAGAAAAAAAGGATCAACCAAGCAAGTATGACAAAATGATCATTGTTGAATCTGCTGGCTAGGTTTGGAGGGTGGGGTTCATTATACTATTTTCTCTACTTCTGAAAATATTTGAAAAGTTTCATAACAAATATTTCTTTAAAAAATAAAGAGAAGGGCTTCCCTGGTGGCACAGTGGTTGAGAGTCCGCCTGCCGATGCAGGGGACACGGGTTCGTGCCCCGGTCCGGGAAGATCCCACATGCCGCGGAGCGGCTGGGCCCGTGAGCCATGGCCGCTGAGCCTGTGCGTCCGGAGCCTGTGCTCCGCAACGGGAGAGGCCACAACAGTGAGAGGCCCGCGTACCGCAAAAAATAAATAAAGAGAAGAATCATGGTATAGATCCCTGTGTATTGAAAATCCTTTAGAAAACTATTTTATGTAGGCAAAAAGAAGAAAGGGAGGTTGCTTGATAGAGTTCTCTCCTTATCTCCAAAGAGTCTTGTCTTAACAAGAGGGTCAGTTTCTTGAGGGCAGGGACCATGTTATTCCTCTTTTGTATTTTTCTCCCCATCATTTACCAAAGTTCTACATACAGTCAACCCTGAGTATGTACTTGTTATTTGAAAAATACATCTTGAATGGAAAGGATAGTGATAAACCATCTCTCTCACCTTGTATTCCCTTTCTGTCTCCTTTTGCTAGCTTCCGTGAAGAAAATAACTTTTTGCCATATGTCATCAACTCCTGTATTTTGCCTGAGATGAGCACAACTTCTAAATCCATAGCAATCTCCCCAGAGGTCTGCAAGGTGAAACACTTTAACTATCAATGTGCTTGATGTTTTACCTTCCTTTATAGCAAAACTCTTCAAAGATGATGCCTGCCATAAAACACAGCAGGCACTCAGTA